TAGTTACAACTCAAAATATATTATTCAATTGTTACAATAAAACACTGAAAACTTTCATTTCAAACTTCCATAAATTTGTGGAAGTTTGAAAACGAAGTTTTCAGTGTTTTATTGTTACATAAAATGAATTTCCATCAAGTAACGGTCGAATCCATCAATTATGTTATTCAAACTTTAAATAAAAATATAACAGAACAGATTATTATAACATTAATCAGACTTCGAATACAAAAATATATACCAGACTAAAAAATGAGGTTTTATTTTACAATGCTTTATTTTTAATAATTCCACTTGCTAAATTTGCTGTTGTCGCAATTGATGTTGTAAGGCTCCGGAATATTCGGTGCTGATATGCGGTAACTTCTTATTTAATTCGCGTGGTCGAATATACTGGATTCTAGCGGACATTGGACTATAACTAGTGTCAAAAGTTGTATTTATAATTTTATGATTTGATTATAATTGTTTTTTAATTTACAGCTGACAATTTTCGTCCCTACCTTACATCATTCCAAGGAAACAGTTATACGGACTACATTAATGCAGTTTTTGTAGATGTGAGTAAATTGCTGTTTTAGTTTAGAGCACTATTAGGTGATTGTAGAAAAAATATTGTATACATTACGAGAAAAAATTACTAACTAATTGAGTAAAAATAAATGATTTGTCAAAATCTACCTTCAAAGCTTTAAAATTGTAGGGATACACCAAACCCAAGGAATATATAGTGACAGAATGGCCTATAAAGTCAACTTGCGGAGAATTTTGGTCGTTGGTATATGACTATGACTGCTCTGCAGTTGTGATACTATGTGTGCCTCCAAATAACTCGGTAAGTTAATTATTAAAATACTGTAATATGTCATTTCAATGTAAAACATAGTGACCATTCTCCTACACTTGTTTAAAGGTCTTCCTATCACATGGTTTACATGTCTCTTCTATTTTTTATATTTATTTTAGGTTAGTTTGACAGAGGAAGCACCTATGTTTATGCAAACCTGCATTGCAAATTTTGATATAATATGTAGAAATGTTTCGTTTGCAGTTATTAAATTATTATTATTATTATCCAGATTTAGCCATACGGCTCACACTCCCTCTAAGGGGAAAATTCACTCATCCCAGATACCTACGGTATCAAAAGGATTGAGCTCTGGTGGGAATCTTTCCGTGTTATCGAGCCCTAGGTGACTTGGCACGTTGGAGTATCTCCTAAAAATTTTCTTACACATCTGGACGTCGCGAGGAGTACAGCTTTCTGCATGGCCTTATAAAGATGTTCATTTAGACCCAGCTGTTTTATGTTAGCTAGGAGATTTTTGGGAATACCACCAGTAGTAGATAAAACAATAGGTAGTGTCTGGGTACTTTCCATTCTCCATTGTCGCCTGATTTGTATTTCTAGATCTCTGTACTTGGCGATCTTTTCGTTATATTTAACACCTAAATTATTGGTGTTGGGTATCGCCACATCAATAAGTGTTGTTTGTCTAGTAAGTTTATTAACTAGTATGAGATCCTGTCTATTATGTGCCACTGGTTGGTCTGTAAGCACAGTGCGGTCCCAGTATATCTTGTAGTTGTCATTTTCAAGCATTCTATCAGGGGCGTATTGATAATAAGGAAGATGGTCGGTTTGGAGAAGTCCCAGTTTGTCAGCTAGTTCTTGGTGGATAATCTTTCCTACTGAGTCATGGCGTTCTTTATAATCAGTATCGACAAATGCCTGGAAGCCACCGGTAAGATGTTGGATGGTTTCTTGGGCTTGGCATCCATATCGGCATTTGTCATTTTGGACTTAGGTAAGGATCTTTAACAATATATTTCAGGTAATTTTAAGTTGGAATAACCTAATCCTAAATGGCAAGTAGGAAACCCTCAGTCTAGGGAAACATCTTTCCTGATGTCAACTAATAGTTCGACGCTGTATTGTCGACATATTCTTGGTTGATCTCATTGAGATGTCGCCCATGCAGAGGTTTACTCATCCAGGTGCGCATTTTTTCTTACTGAGTCAGGTGGTTTATGCGAATTTCTTGTTTCCTCAGTTTAAGCGGCGTCGTATCATCTACTGCGCAAGTTGCTCGATGTAAAGTAGATGTCTCAGCCTGTACCTGAAAATAAGATCTTAAATTAGCAATTTGTTTATCTAATTGCTCACCTATATCCATAAGTCCTATTCACCCTTGATACCGCGGTAATGTTGTTCTCTCTACTGCACTACGTGGATGATGTTTTTGCGCTTTTGTGAGAAGTGTTCTTACTTTCCGCTGAAAACCCTCTATATCCGTTTTTGACCACTTTATAATACCAAATGCTCAGAGCGGAACAGGCGTACGTATTAAATGCCTTAAACAAATTTTTACTATTAAGATATGACCGATTTAGTTGTCTTACTCTTCGCACGAACTCCGAAGTAAGTTCCGTTTTCACTTGTTTAAGGTCAATTTTCCGCGCTTGTTTTACTCCGAGATATTTGTACATATCATTTTCACCCATTACCTCGATGTTTTGGCCATCTTGCATATCTAAACCTCCGGGCTGAACCTTTTTTCTAACTTTATTTAGTATACGGCACTTGTCTAGTCCAAAATGCATACTGATATCATTTGAGAAATTTTCTACAGTTTTTAGCATCGCATCTAGGTGGTTTCGAGTGGAAGCCATTAATTTTAAATCATCCATATACAACAGATGATTAAGCTTCGCTACAACAGTGTTGTTATTTTTGATGCTAAATCCTGAGTCAGTAGAGTTCAGCAGCTGAGATAGTGGGTTCATCGCTAGGCAGAACCAAAGTGGACTCAACGAGTCCCCCTGGAAAAGGCCCCGGTTAAGGGATATCTTCAGTTTCGATATTAATTTCACCAGGTATTTGAAGGTGAATTTTAATCTTCCACTCTGCCATTATATGCTTCAAAAAGGTCACGAGATTATCATTGACTTTATATATTTTATAAAAGCCACCAAAAAAAGGTTTCTTTTTTTGGTGTATGCCTGGTTAGAAATGACTGAGTCGATAATAAGTTGTTTTTTGCATCCCATGGAGCCCTTAGCGCATCCTTTCTGTTGGGGCTCTATGATATTTTTCAGAGCACAGTGTTGGTAGATACGCCAGGCCACATAGGATGTGACCAATTTGTACAAAGTTGGAAGACAAGTAATTGGGCGGTACTTGGCTGGATCTTGGGTGTTATTTTGATCCTTCGGTATTAGATAAGTGGTTCCCTGAGGAAGGAATGATGGTATTTTCTGTAAATTAGAAATAATATTATTAATAAATACTGTATAAAGCTCTTGAATACTCCAAAACTTCTTTAGCCAGAAGTTTTGAACTGCGTCCGGTCCAGGAGATTTTCAGTTATGAAGCTCTTTGATAATGTTCGAGACTTCTTCAGTGGTAAAAGGTTCATAAGGAATATTCCTGTGGTGTTGACATTTGTTCGTGGTGTCTTCAATCCATCCAGCATTGTTGTTATGGGTAGCTGGCGTCGAAAGTTGGTTTCCCCAAAACTCATGAATTTCTTCTTGGCTTGGGTAGGATTTATTTGCGTTTTCTACAGTGGAATTAAGTTTCCTATAGAAAGTTTTCTCTGCTTGCTCAAAAAGTATATTGTCGCATTTCCGGTTGTTACTAACTTTGTATCTCCTCAGGCGGCCTGAGTAAACAAATAGTTTTTGTTTTAATGTGTCCAGGCATTGTTAAGGTGTGTTGTTTTCTGGATCATATCGTGAGTGTTTTAGAGTGTTAAACAATCAATATTTCTTTAGCTCTTTTGATGATTTTTCTACTTCTTACTCCTCTTATGTACTCTGTTATTTGTCCAATGTCCCTATGCAGTAGTTCGATCTTCTTCAGCAGTCGTTTTTCCCAGGGTGTTATTCTCTTACCAGTCCTTCCGATGTTGGTACCCCGTCGTGTTCTGATCTTAATGCCCATAACATTAGCAATTGCTGTTGCTGCACAGTAAATCAGCATATGCAAATATTCCAATGTGTGGGCTTCTGTGATATAATTGGGTAGGACTTCAGTATTCACAATTTGTAACAGCGCTCCTAGTTTCTTGGAAGAGTTTATTTTTGGTAGCGGTGGTCTGCTAAGTGGGTTTGTTCCACTAAACTCTTGTACGGCGCGCGCCATTTCGTTTACCAGACTATCGTGCAACTCATTATTGTCCTGCTGTGTATTATTAGGTTGAGTTTCTTGTATGAGAAGCTCAGGAATCTGCTCATTAGGGATTTCGTTAGGGACTTGGTCTGCAACTTGCTTTTGGTTATGGATCTCCCGTTCGATTTCACGTCTGATGATGTCGCGTCTAGTCTCTGGAATAAGATTGTTTCTTAAAATTACCCGGTATTGATCTGCTACTCTTTGTTCAGATACTTGGATTTCTGGGTACTCCCTGCAAAATTCGGCATACAGTTGTTGTCGATAGCCGATCGTTTCTTGACCGAGGTTTGTCACCTTATAATAAAAGCGTAAAATATTTTCGTGTTGTTGTTTGGCTCACTTGTGGTTGTTGTTGTTGTTATTGTTGAGCTGTAGCTGATTGTATGACAGGGGCCCGCCTCCTCAACACCCTGCCACCGACGTCCCGCATGCTGTCACTTCCAGCGCCGTCTCCAGACGTGCCCTGGCGATTCCCAGGCAGCGACCCTAAACATAAATTATTAAGTGTTTTTGTCAGTTTTTGTTCCACGACAGGTATTCCTGTTACTCTCTGGGTATCTGCGCTACGGATACCCAGAAAGCATCCCCCATTCGCAGGGGGCCGCGCCTGATAGAAGAACTGATAAAAACTCCCACAGGTTATTATACATTATACATATTATACAGGTATTATTATTATTATTTCTAAGAAAAGAATATATATATATATATATATATATATATATATATATATATATATATATATATATATATATATATATATATATATATATTATGGTGATTATAAAAATACAGTTGATGTTAATTCTCATTCATATTTTAGCAACAGTTTCCAAATTTTTGGCCCGAGGGAAGAGCGTCCAAAAAATATGGCCCTGTATTTACCATAGATCATATATCACATAGCCACTATACGAATATACGAACTTGGGTGTTTAGAATAAATAAAAAGGTAAGTTGAGCATTGATTTTTAATGAAAAATATAGCTTTGAAATTAAAAACTATAATAAATGTAACATTTTATTATCGTAAAGAATAAATTATTAATAAACATTATGAATGGCATAAAAATTGGGTAGCTGATTTTCTCACAATGTACACAGTGTCTTAATTAAATCAAAACTGGACTATTGAGGTACTGTGTATAACCCAGCAAAACAAACACTGCTTAAAACTTCTGCATTTAGCCGTTAGACTTGCTTTTGGAGTATATTGCACCAGTCCTGTGGACAGGAGCAATAATAAATTAAAAAAAAAATTAATAAATTGTTTTCATGGTCATGGTTCATGGTTAATGGTCATCAGAGTAGATGGTACTTTTTTAGGCTTACCACTAAGGCGGGAAAATTTCTAAAGGTGTCTTATTGATCGTCGTATTTGAGTTTGTACACATCTATCAATTCGTGTGGATACCAAATGAAGTTGAAATGGAAAACTGGAAGTTGGTAAAGATTGATTTCTGTTTTATCTGATTATTCTAATTTAGGATACTTTTTCCTTAGTTTTTCTGCTACGTTTGCTTCCTTTTTGGCTACATTATGGTTTGAAGATGGGTTCCAAAGTTATTCGCTTTCCACTCGTTATACAGTTTTCTCTTAACCTCAAAGAATATTTCTTAAACTTCGTTTAACCACCACCAAGTTTCTTTATTCATAAATTATATCATTAGTACTTTTACAAGTATTTTTTAGTTTCGAGTGGTAAGAAATTTAATTTTTATATAGGTAAAGAAATAATAAATAAGACTTACTCACAATCAATTTAATTTAACTATCAGACGACCGGTTTCGCTTTCTACAATATGCAAAGCATCCTCAGGTCTCGATACAAAGTTAAACAAATGCTGAAATAATAAAAACATATATTAGGGTGTTGTCTAATAACGGTAAACAAAGTAGGTGTTGTAAATTACAATAATTATGCCAATATTACATGTCTGTGGTTTTATTTAAATGAGTAAGTTGAATAAAAGGTATAAAAATTTTAAAAAGTTTAAACAGACAAGGTAAGGCCCACAAATTGTTTTAAAATAGTCTCTTCGTATATTATTAAATGGCCAACTATATGGCCTAGGAGACAAATTCGTTAAACTTCCCGTGCTCGAATTGGTATCACTAAAGTGTTATGATCATTTCGGCCTATCCCAGCCATCGTCAGACACTTGGGCTGATACAAATTCAAACTCGGAAAGTAAAACGAATGTCTCCCAAATCTTCACTACCGTGTAGTTAGTCTCTTCGATTGTAATAAATTAATAAATGAGCAAATAAATAAATAAAATAAACATTACTTACATGCCGGTACTCTATTAATAGATGGATGGTAGAACATGGTTGAAACTACTTTATATTGTTGAATGGAGAACTCAATTCTATTATTGCAGTTGTTTGACAGTAAACGGGAAGTTCTTGAGGAGATAGATTTGATCCAATGAAGAAGAGATATGTGTGAGATTGTTTGTTAAATGTAAGTGGTGTAATATACCATTGTGTTATTAAAAGCTATTTATCCCTGCATCACTCGCGCCTTAAAAAATTACGCGAGAACTCGCGCGTGAGAATTTCTCTCACACGACGAACCCTTCAAGATTTTGTTCGGTGTAACTGTTTTTATTTTTTTTTATGCAAATGAAACAAAACTATTGGTAATAATAAAAGGGTTTATTTAAAATAAATGCCAAAAATAGAGTTATAAGTACATTAAAAATACTAAAAAGAAAACTTATACAATGCTAAGAACTAAAAAAAAATACCCTGTATATTTTATTTTACATCTATCTTTAAATTAATGTTATCCTTAAATCAGATAAAATAAACATAATATTAATCAAAAATTTAATCATCTGAAGTACCACTATTATCGTTTACGCCAGAACACGTTGGACATGTGAAGGTGGTATGCTCCGTGCAAATGGCAACATTGCAGCTAACACATCGTTTTTTTGACTTCCTGTTCTTTCTTCTTGGACAAAATCCACAGAAATCTGGAACAGATTCTCTGTTCTGTTCAATCTGAGGCATATTTAAATATTCCCTTAGCATGCTTCGAATATTAATTGGCAAAGACCTGATCGATGAACGACGAATCAACAGAGGTTTAATCAAAGCTTCGGCCAGATGATTGAGATAAATTCTACGTTCTTCAATAACTTCGGTATTACTTTTATATACAATATTGGAATTAATAGCAGCAACGTCCAAAATTGTAAAAAAAATTCTAAGTGGCCATCGGCAACAATATCTGGAAACAGAATAAGTTGATTTTAATTCATCAACCACATCGACACCTCCTTTTGTTAGGTTATAAAATGTAATGATCTCAGGTTTTTCCAGTTCACCAGATTCAGGATCGATGTAGTCCCCAGAATGAAATGTAGATAACATCAATACGTTTTTCTGAGGTTTGGGTTTATACGATAATAATACAGTATTCTTTCGGAAACCAAACATGCTACTAGGTACAGGTCTTTTCACATTTATAAATATTGGCGGAATTTCCCTCTTGTTTTTCCTTAGGGTACCAACAAGTGTAGTTTTCCTATCAAGTAATTGTTTGGCTAATGGCACTGACGTGAAATAATTGTCCATAGTTATATTTCTACCTGTGTTTAATATGGGATTTGCTATACGCATAACAACAGCAGATGCAGAGTTGTCTAGATAAAAAGGGCCAACTGGCTGTTTTCCTGCATATATCTCCATATTGCAGGTATAAAACATCCTTGAATCAACTAAGGCATATATTTTAATGCCGTATTTGGCCGGCTTGTTGGCTATATATTGCCGAAATTTACATCGCCCTCTAAAGCTTTCCAACATTTCATCCACTGTACAATACTCTCCAACTTGGTAGTTTTCTTGACACTTGGACACAAACTGTTCAAATATGTTTCGAATGGGAGCCAAATTATCGTATTTTTTTCTTTCGTTTCGGTCATTGATATTGTCAAATCTTAGTGCTCTTCCTAAAATATGAAATCGTTCTCGTGACATCGTTAGTCTAAAGCAAGCAGGAGCAAATATTGAATCAGCCCAAAGTTCTTTAGTATTTAGATATTGAGCCTTTCGTACCCCAGCCATGTATAGGAGGCCGATAAAAGCATATATTTCTGTAGCGTCTGTGTCACGGCAATCTCTTTCTCTCGTATAGTTACCTCGTATTTTTGCTAGATAGATATTTGTGCATTGTACGATTTCTTCAACCATTTCTTTTGTAATATATAATTCCCAGCATGCTTCGACAGTATTTGCATCTTTTGCAATATTTTTTACTCCGGGAAGATGACTAACAATATTTTTTGTAGGCACTCTTACGTTAGGTCGTGGAGGATAAGCCATCCAGTGAGTTTTTTTGTCTTTACCAGTGAAATGATGTTTTGATGTATATGCGGGATTATCGTCAACTTCATAAACAAAATTTTCAACTTCTACATCAGATTGTTCGGAATCGGTATTATGCATACTATGTTCACTGGAAGCGTCACTTTCAACATCCACTCGTCCGCCATCTTCCATAATTTCTTGATTTTGACATTCCTCTTGCCCACTCCATGGTATGTTAGCTGACATACCTTCTCTTTGTGCCTCTTCATATCGAATTCGCCCTAATTCTGCAAGCGTCAGTCCTCTACTCATTGTTTACTATCTAAAATAACAATACCACAATAATAGAACACCTTGACCTTATTTAAAAAGCAAATAAAGTAGTTATGTATAAAAAAATCTTAAATTTACTTACCAAAACTTTATTCAACCTTAAGAAAATATACTACGTTAGAACTTGCGCGATGAGAGAAATTCTCACAGAGATCTGCACACGATCGACAAGTGCCCGATATCTATTACCAACATGCACTAAATATTGCATGCGCTCAAGCGTAACAACGAAGACCCTTAGAAACTCAGCTAGAAGTGGGGGTAGCAGTATGCGTGATTTACCGTTAATAAAATTTGCATTTTACTGGTAGGTGTGAGAGAAATACTCATAGCGCGAGTTATACTTATTCGAAAGATATATTTTTGAAATGTGTAAATTACATAATTACATAAGTGGTCAATCCACGTATCCGTTTCTATGTGTTTTGGTTCTGTTAGTTTCTTTACCTCCGTTGTTCGACCTCTTATGAAGTGCCATCTATCCTTTTGCAAACGGTAAAAATCTAAGTTTATAATATTTTAAAAGGTTTAGATTTTGTTCAAAAGACATTTTATTTTTATGTGTTAGTTCACTACTAATTACTGATTTTATTACAGATTGTTTCGCTAACAGAACTGATGGCAGGAGTTAAAGCTCCACCAAAGACTGTCCAATTATTTCAGTTGACTTGTTGGCCTATGGGTCACAAAGTACCAACATCGACAAATTCCTTGGTAGAGCTCATGAATATGGTCGAAAGATGGAGACAACGGTCGGACTATGGACCTGTTTGTGTAGTCTCCCCGTAAGTGTTTCAATATATTAAAACAAATTTACATGTATCTTAAAAAAAATCACGTTGGGACAAGCAATTGAGGCTTTTTCTCCAAAAAATTGTAAATAGTTCATTATAGTTGAAGCCAATCTACTTTTTAAGTTTCTCAACTGTGCCATTTTCGTTCTAACCTTCTAAGTAAAGATACTTTAGTTATTATTTTCGAATCAGTTTAATATTATATCACGTCTTTAGGGATGGAAGAAGTAGATGTGGAATATACTGCGCTGCAAATGCTTGCATAGAACAAGTCATCCAACATGGCGAAGTGGACGTTTTCCAAGCTGTTAGAACAGTTCGAAGACATCGACCCCAACTTATAGAAAATATTGTAAGTATTATTTACCGATAAGATTCTTAAAATAATATTTTTTTGAAATATGACATGTTTGTTCCGAAATGTTTTACAGATATAGAATGTTCGTAACTACAGTTGTGAATTCGACGGTTTGTATGTCCTACGTGTTTTCGTGGGCAACTGGAACAAGGTAGCTCGTAGACACCATGGTCTTCATTATAGATTTGGTCTTTTACGGGTCTGACGAGATTTGATAGCTTGGAGTGACTAGTTCCAATGGTTTTTATGTTTAGAGGGTTAAGAGTTCTACTGATCATGTCAGTGACATCTTTGATAAAAGGTAGAAAGATTTTTGGTTGATCTAGCGGCAAGGTTTATTTTGTAGATGGAATAGGGCTTAGATGTTTTTGAATGCCATTATTGATTAGAGTGTTTACTTTATCGAATTGATTTCGGATGATCTGTGATTGTCGTCGCTAGGTCTTGTGCAACTATAAACAAGAGTGTTAATAATTGAATTAAGTTGGGCGGGATGATGATGTGACTGAGAATTGAGAGAACGGTTAGTATGGTTGAGTTTTTGATACACAGAATAAGAAGAACTGTGAGGTGGGTGTTTTGGAATAAGAACGTCAAGGAATGGCAAAGACGCTATAGACTTAACTTTTATCGTGAATTGAATACTGGGATGTATTCCATTCAGGTGGGAGAGGAACAGATCTAATGTATATTTACCGTGGGGCCAAATAACAAAGGTGTTATCAACGTACGGTAAGCTGCAGGTGGGTTTAAGATTTGATGAGAACAGGGCTGTTATTTCGAAATATTTCACATCGATTTCACAACAGGGCATGATCGTTTATTACATTTAAGCTTTTCGTTATTATTCGCTTATATTTTGATGATGTTGTAATGGACCTTGTAGAAAATAATCACTGTTTTAATAACTATTTTTCTTATTTTCTAGACTGAATATAAATACTGTTATGACGTCGTTCTTCACTACGTCCTGCACTACCTTCAAAAAGACCTTCAAGAAATTAAAATCAAGCATTAGTGATATTCTATATAACTGCTTGACAGTTGATTTATTACCAGCTGTGCCACTTGAACCAAGAACTACTTGAAGAAAGAAATACGGCTTGTATCTTGTGTCCAATCTAAGGTCCAGCTTTATATATTCATATTTTGTATGTGACGAGCACTAGATTGATATATCTGTGTTTACCTATTATTGGTAAAGGCAATCATAGGAAAATATTTCAAGTTCTAGAAAAATTGATTAATATAAAAGGGCTGTTTTCTTTTTGTTGGGCTTGTTGATGAAAAATATGTACTCAAAAGGTTTTTATTTCTTATGTATATTCATAGGAACCATTATCTGACCTCATCAGATTTAAAATAATTATCTGACCTCATCAAAACCTTAGATAAAATCTACGGAACATATGGCAAATGTCATTTAATACAAAATTATAAAATAATAAATAATCAGAATGTTAACTATCACAAAACTTACACGTACAGGCAACGTACCTATCTCGCGCAGACAGCTCCCACCATTATTTAGGCCATTCCAGTGGACTACCTAAGATCTGACGGCACAATGGGCTGGGATATTAAAAACCATTCCAGACATTTCTAATTTGTGTGTATTTTTTCCATAAGAAGTTGAAAATGTTGGTTTTTTTAATTGTTTGAAGAACAAATAAGAACTTTTGATTATGAACATTTATTCTGTGCGATTGGTATTATTTGTTGATCGTGAAATTTTGAGGTAAGAATATTAAAGGATTAAGATATTTACTATAAATGTTCATATTTTAAGGTTATGTTGTGGTTTGATTAAATGATTCCCCACACCGACGCGAAACTTTTGCGACGCGAAACCGTTGCGGAACATTCGCAGGCGGAGCACTATTAAATTCATTATATATAATATATAATGAAAACTTACCATTTTCTCCTAGAAATGACCCTATATTATCCCAGACTTTATCCTTTTTTCTTATATTTTTATAATCTTCGTCACTTAAATCATAAATTATAGGATATTGTTTCACAATTTCAATTAGTTTTTCTGTAACAGCCATTTTAATAATTCACGCGAAACTATAACTTGCTATAACTGCAGCGGAAAAAACCGTGCATGCAGCGTTTCATGAAACGTCAACGCTGTTCTGCCGCGACCGTTCCGGTTTCCGTCCGAACTTGTCTGAACACATGCATTAAGTCGCCGTACGATTCGCCGCGATTCCGCTGCGAAAGTTTCGCGTCGGTTTGGGGAATCCTTAAAACTTTAATTATTTTTCACTATATTTGAAGGTATTTTTGACGTTTCATATTAGAGTTGACATGACAACTGACAATCAACAGTCGACGTTGTAACCTAAAATGATTTATTAGTCTGGGGTTACAAGTTACAGTACAGATACAGCAATTATTTGTTGATCAAAACATTTAACTGTCTTTTATATAGGCCAATAAAAGGAAAGCAGTCGTTTACTTATCTTTTAAGAATAACTAAGTACTCAAAGACTTTTCTACAAAAGTATACAGTTTTTCTAAATATTCAAAACGAATTTTATAATATAACATAACCTAAAATGTCTAATCACTTAAAATCTTTAAACATTGTAAGTTTACATTTCTATTTTTGCGACTTTGGAGTAGCTAATACTGAATCTTTAGTTTTTATCATTGCACGAAAAAAATTTTTAATAATAATTTTTATTTACAATAATTATACTGACCAGCAAAAAACAACCACTTTTTTAAAATATTGAAATACTACATTACTATTATTTTTTTTACTAGAAGATTAAAAAGAAGATATGATTAACAAATCGTCAGCTGAATGAAATCAAGAAATGAATAAGTGGTTTAATCGATAAAATTAGCAAAGTGACTAAAAATATCACGTGGATTAATACGACAAAGTAAAAGTCTTCTAGACTGGAGGAAGAAATAATGAACGTTAAGGGGAGGAAAATACGAACGTTTGGTAAGATGTTGGACAAGTGGAGGAGGAATGATCGTGAAGGAGGGAGAACAAGAAAATGAGGTGAGATAAGATAAAAGTGAAAGAGTTGCCAAAGTCAAACGTGGTTACAAAAGTAAAGAGCATGGTGAGAGAAAGTGTTAGAGGTAACGTGGATAAATGAAGAGACAAAGTAAATCAATATAAGAACAAATATGTAATGGTTTTTTTTTTATAAAGGATCGGAATTATTGAACAAGAAAATGTTTCGAGAGAGAAAGTGGCTAAGACGACTGTTAAAGCCCTTCATAAAATATACAGAGTGAGTCATGAAAAACTTTTACATACTCCTACCTCTTATGGAGACCCCTACCGGGGATGTCAAGAGGCTATTAAAAAGAATCTGCGCCTATGGTGATGACCAAGAGAAATATCAGTCAAAATTCACAACTCGATTTGTATAATATTGAACTATGGTATAAGTCACTTTTCAATAGGTATTTGGCATTCCTTATAGGGGTCTCCATACGAAGTAGAAGTATATAGAATCACTCATGACACACCCTATATTTATTGTGCTATTTTCTGCCGGTCAGACCATTTAAAATTTATAATTTTTTATGTCTTAATGTTTTTGAAAACTATTTAGCTATGGTAACTCAGTTTTTCACATTTATACAAGTGCTAATTAGTTTGTTTTGGATCTAGAATATTTTAAAATATACAAAATTAAAAAAAAGATGTTTGATTTCATAATACACTTAGCCCAGGCTGTGGGGGGAAAAAGGGTGACACATTACATAAATTCCTGGATTAGAGAGTATTTGTCCCCCATGGCCTGGGCTAACTGTCAAAATGACAACTATACCAATTTAACTGCTACAACCTTAGACAAGGGAAGAAAGGGGACGCGTCATCGTATGGAATTGACTGAAGCCTAAACCGGCACATTTTATTTCTTCAGTAGATTAAGAATAATGGATATATATCAATAAATAGATTTTTTTAAATTTATAATTGAACAGTGACATAATAGTAATCACTTTTTGAACATGATTTGATCATTACATATTTTTTAGTAAATCGTATTTTTTAGTAGATATAGTGTTTTAGTAAATCAGTAAATTAAAGTTGAAATCAGTAGATTTAATGAAAATCAGTAGATTTGGTAACACTGCGTGAGGTAGTAATGGGCAAGGTACAGGCACCAAAACATGGCGGTCACATCGCAACTGGTTTCATTTTTCGAAGGTTAATAAATGAGTGTTAAACCTGTCCTCTGTTTTTCCTTGTCTATGGCTATAACCCTTATATTAAAATTTTTTGTAATGGAACTTCTGTATTTTCACAAAAAACACTGAGATGCCATACAATAATATCCCATATTATTCGTGACGTCTCCTACGGCTAGTTAAAAAACCGAGTAACACGCATTTTCATAGCAGTTCCTTTTTGAAGCCATTTATTGATATATTTTATTGCACTAAAACATTAATATCTTATTAAGAAAAATTTTACAGGAAAAACAAAAAATTCTACAGGCAAAACAATTTCTCGGAAAATAAAATAAAGGTTTTGTTGGAAGAATAGCATTTGAAACCGTTTTGGCCGATACACAATTTAATAATTAAAACAAACCGAGCTTAAAAAATGCCAGGGTGACGTCACACTAATATGGCTTATAGTTTTTGCGCCACTAAAAATTGTTATGTATTTTTCTCAATGGCTCTCTTTGTATGACGTATTTTCTACGATTTTATACATTGTCCACTTGCTCATTTATAACATTTTTCCCATTTTGATCGTCCATATATAAGAGAAAAGATTAATAATCGCCAGTAAAATAATTGGTTTAATGTTCCATCGACATCATTATTGTTATGATTAATAAAACAGATAATTTAGAGTCAAAAATAATAATTTATTTTGTCTAACATGATTATATAGTTAGAACATAAATGTTTGAGTTTTAATCTAAAATTGAAGGGGTGGCTGCAATAACCAGGCAGCTCCACTTTTTTACGAAAATGAGATTTTCAGTGACTTACTCTTAACAAAAATCGGCCGATCGTTCCCTGCAACAAACGGGTATCTCTTAATAACGGCACATAACTGGCAACGATATTTGGAGCTACCTTGCTTTCGGTTTGTAGCAAGAACCGGGCAGCTCCTGGAGCTGCCTGGTTCTTGCACTTAACTGTTGACAAAATAATATAATAGAAAAGATATAAAAATATGCATGGAATATAAAAAATAAGTTTGATTCCTTCATGTATTTGTTTAGTTTCTATTGAATTTTATGTAATAATACAATAATTTTAATATTATTCTATTTCTAAACAGTTTGTAATACGGTCCTGTTCATTTTCTCATGCGCCGCCGTGAACTAGTTACTTACTCGTTTAGTCGGGCAAGCGCAGGTGCTCGTTGTGTTTTAGTTTAGTTCAGATCGACGTGTTGTTATACATAGATACACACTTTTCTTACGATTCGTAGTGAATAAAATTTAGTATTATTTATATTTGAAATGGCAAGTGAACTCAGTTCAAGTGAAAGTGAACCGTTTCAAGATTCGTCATCGGATTTCATTCCTGATTCCGAATCAAGTGAGGAGAATGCTGTAAACGAAGTTGCTGCAAGCAATGTTGCCACTACGTCTGGACTGGTTGAAAATAAAAAATCGAAAAAGAGGAGCAGGGAGCCGAATATGTGGAAGCGAAACCAGAGAAAATTAAGAAGATCTAAAGGTGAAGAGTACATTAATGTTAAAGGAAACATAGTGGAAAGACGAAGTAGAGGAGGTCCATGCCAGTGCCGGTTCAAATGTTTTGAAGGCATAAGCGAAGAAACTCTTGATAAAATTTTCACGTCTTTTTATGAAATAGGTGATAAAGAGCAACAAGATATCTATTTAGGTAAGGATAAAATTATTGGCGCCTGAAAGCACGTATTAGTTATATATCGTTTCATAGGTTCTTGGGTATGCAGATTTCGGTTCCGAGGTTTATTTGATATTTAAACAAATAAATGACGATTCCAATAGCCTTCCATACCTGTTGGTACGGACGGCAAATAATGATTTTTATGAAATATTGATTTTCTGTTCTTTTTTTCAGGTGGTTTAATACAGACGAGAAACGTTGACAGAAGGCGACCGAAAGGAGGTGGTGGAGTTCCAAGAGGCCAAACGTTTTTATATAAAATAAAGAGAGGCATATTTGAGAAAAAAGTGTGTAAAACGGCATTTATGAACATTCACGCAATAACGAAAAGCAGGGTGGAGAGAATAGCGACTCATATGGCTTCACAGATAGTAGGTCCGAAAGACATGCGAGGGCGCCATGAAACTAGACCAAATAAAATCCCAGATCAAATTATCAAGTCCATTGAGGATCATATAAATAGCTTTCCAAGAAGAAAAAGCCATTATAGCAGAAATGATAACCTAAACAGAAGATATCTTTCATCCGAACTGAATTTAAGGCTTATGCACAGATTGTATTTAAAAAAATATGAACCAGAACAGCATAATCTATTAGACACACCAGAGTTTAAGCCAAAAGTTTTATACACATATTATCGGCGTGTATTTGTGGAAAATTTTAATTTAACCTTTGGCCACCCTAGAACAG